AAGAAATAATGATTAATGAGCAATAGAATTGTGGCACAAATTTGAGGCTTTGAGGGTGATTACTAACACAGTATTGTATATATATACAGTAACATAAACAAATAAAATTAATGTGCTGAAACAAACAATAACAAATTTTATCTTTAGAAAGAATTTTTAAGATTCAAGCTTTGTATTATTGAAGATTAAATAATATCGAAATTTATTTTACGTATAAATTTAAGAAAATGTTTTTCTATTAATTCTCTGTGTTCATTTGGCCAATTTGATCCTTGAGCATCACTGATCTCCTAAGTGAACAAAGTGGCCCTTCGTGTAGGTTACAGTCAAAGACAATGTGGTCCCAGGTTTCTTCCAATCCTGCCTGGCATTCACAAGATGGGTCGTCGATTTTCAAAAATTGAGTTGTTTTGAATGAGTGGGGAAAGTCCGCCTTTATTCTTCCAGACACTGTTGGATAGAACTACTTGGTATGCGTCGCCTGCTCTGTTGTGATCCATGCAGTATTTCATTGATCCATTATTTGCATTCGAGTACTTGTTATAACTCGGAGGTGCATGACAGAATTCCACGGCGTTCTCTGTGTCCATTGCAGCACTCTTTGCCTCTCGATCTCAGCCTCGTTTCCTCTGCTTCCGACGTGACCTTTGACCCAGGTAAATGTTACTGTCCATCCTTTTTCTTCCAAGGATTTCAGATTTCTTTTGATCAGATGAGATTGACGATTCTTGTTCTCACGTTTTGCAAGATGTCTAGGGCTACCTGACTCTGTTTTAACGATAGCTGTTTTTGGAGCTTTCCATTTCTCATCCTGAGCTGCAACCAAAGATCTTAAAATAGCCAGAAGTTCAGCCTGGTTATTACTTCTACTACTATTATTATTAATTAACTAATAATTAACTACTATTAAATAGAACTTGCTAGCAGCATCTGAACTGCCACTAAATCACAAATACGGACACAGAATTCGCCATGCAAGGCTGATTCGTGGAAAATTAAGATACACTACTGGCTACTGACAGTTTTCAACTTGACAACATAAATTCACAGGTCGTGATAATGTCACAAAGCATGCCAGTTTTATCTGCTCTGAATGGAATTCTGGTAGATCATCGAATTCGGGGGGGGGGGGATTCAGCAGCAAATTTTTAATCGAATGATATGCATATCTCAATTTCGTCCAAAAATGAGATACATCACGTTGCTTCCACAATGACGAAACGTTATTATAATAATATATATCGAATAATAATATATATTTTCGATCACCGATTTATAGCGCAACTCTGCAAACGTATATCCATTCACGTTTTCATGTGTAATAAACTAATTTCTAAAAAGGAAGACTATTCATTCAACAACCATAATATACAAAATTGGAGAGACCAATTAGGTAATCAAATGTCTTTCCGCGATGAAAGTCCGGACTCCGGAGTATATTCATTAGAAAAGGAATACTTGATAATTTGTGGTATATCTAAAAGAAGTTGGAATTATTAAGTGAAAATACACCTTCAGTGAATAACATTCTGACTTCCCTAGATCACTCAGTGGCTGTGGATCACAAGCAATATTTTCTGGAATTTCGCACAAGATAAGTAAATTCATGATCATCTGCTTATGGAGAGTGAAAAACTTTCGCCACTCATCATTTAGAAATTCAGAGAAATTATCACTTTTCTCTCTACTTATTTGAATAATCGGGATAAAATTGAAATGTGAATAGTTCAGTTCTCTCTCTTTTCCTTTAGTTTCAGTGCTTATCGTCTCGAGATAATTGCTGTCAGGATCGTAATGAGTATCTTCGGACTCAACATTTGACGAAAAACGCTCTTCATCCATCTCGGAATCGATGCTCACAATAGGGCTCGAGGATTTCGAACTCTCAGTAATTTTTATGACGCTATGCTTTGTAGTATGCAAGTGCATTCGTTTGTAAATCTTTTGTTGGAGTTTGAACTGGAAAAACCAATTCGCTTTGTCTAAAGGACACTTTTCTCAACGTATAACAGAGTGCCCCAATTGAATTTGATAAGCTCTTTTCAGTTGAAGAATTCACATAGGGATGCTAAACATCCGAAACACACTAGCGACTTCACTTCCCCAGTGCCATTAACTAACGCAGCTTCCAGCATGTCTGAGTTTTTATTATAACTACTGATTTTGAACACTTGTATTGCTTCACTATCAATGCGGAGGGTGACATCTCTATCAGCTAGAGTTGTCATTCCTCCAGCGTGCGTAATGTGTAATATATTAACTGATTTCTATCCTTCGAAAGAGCCCGGAATGTGGAATTCATTGTTTAAAATTTTGTAATCGCGAACGTCAAGCATATTTCCTGAAATCTCTCATGTTTTGGCATAAGGCAATAGATTTGTATATATTGTGGCTTTGGCCTGGCTCGAACAGCTGACCTATCCATGATTGGTCGACACTAAGTTCACTTTTGGATTTACAACTTGGAAAGGAATAAATGTTTGGGTTTGGATGAGGGAAGGGGTTTCTTAGTATGTACATTGTACAATTCTATTGATTTAATAGGACAAGGGAGGAAATCAAAGAACAGTGTGATAAGGTTGGATTTTATACATAATTCCTTCCCCTTTAAAAAAAAACTTCATCCTGGAAGTTCTCTTGGACCGAAGACCCTTGTACAAATAATTTACATTAATGTTAATAATTAACATTATTATTACATATTGCTATAATATTTATCAGTATAAGTCAATTGATTAAAATTTATAATATAATGATTATAAAACACTAATCTTACTTAACTCTACTTCCTCTAAATTCCAATCGCTTACTATTTTTTGCATGTATTATATTCATTTAACTTTTAAGAAATAAACTTTTAATGAAACAATTAATTAATTTTTAACAAACTTTGAAATTTACAATAATAAAAACTCTAAATACAATAATGGTTACAATAGAATAGAAAATGAAAGTGGGAAATGGATTTTCTTCACTATGTACACTTAGAGTAATCAGTGGATTCAAGGGCGTATCTTGAAGGGAAAATTTTCTTATATGAACTAACATGACCGTTGAATTTAATCCTAAATTAATCCGTGGTAGAAATTTCGGGTGTCAAGTATAGCGTGTCAGATGAATTGATGTTTTCCTTTTATAATGTATAATTCTTGACCCAGACTTGATTAGGAAGATCCTGTGTAGTTTTTGTTACAGATTCCTTGAGTTCGATTATTGTTAATTCTGGTCGGGTTGGAAAAAGTTAGACAGCTTGAAAACCCAGTTTACTATGTCTCGCGTGATTATGGCCATATCCTGTAGACCAGTAGTAGCAAACGAGCGCAGGGCAGCCGTTAGAATGGCCAAGGTGTTCCATGGCCATCACTTGTATCATTTCAGACAACCTGTCTACTGTTCCATGATATAGGACGATGCTTCTTTATTCACTTTTTTTGCAGGATCCATCAAAAATTGGCTCATTTTTGCCCTGATTCTGCCAGATTCTCGCTGAGTTTCTGATATGGTTGATTTTCTCCGATTCAAGGAATAGACCATAATTTGTCTCAGAGCCTCTTTTCCGCTTGAGGTCTAGAATTGACGGTTGCGGCCACGCAAACATTTCCTTATCACGCATTTGAGGTCCTTTACAACTACTAGATTCAACATCGGTACTACATTCGCTGCCAGGCTCTGTTGTCATTTCTGAATGAGCAGTACTTCTTTGGGGTGGAGTTGTTTTTAGCGTGCTTGCTTCCTCGGAAAATTGTCTAGTTGCTAATATCTTTTGTCCGGGACGTGCCAGGTTTGGGTCTGTGTGACACATGTCTTACAGGTGTCGGAGGAATCACGTCTCTTTCACCTGCCGGATTTTGGCCTTCCGGTAGACGGCCTTCATTTTTTGGATTTAATTCTGCCATTTCATTCCCACGAGAAATGGGGTGTGAAAGTCCACGCCAGGAGGACCCAACCCTGACGCAAAGCGACTTAATATTCAGGGGTGGCGCCAGGTGCCCCTGAAGCTCCGTTCAAGACATGGTGACCCCCATGCCATCCATCCATTGGCACGGATCACATAACACCGTGGATTGGGGTTTTCTGTTAGGGTTTTCTCCCTTAGTCTGAGTTCTCCGTTTATACGCCGAGAGTTCGCGTTTTGCCCTGCACCGTTTGCCACCAAAGCCATAGCAGTTGGCGTTGCCCGGGGACCACGACACGGACTTGGGGTTCATCGGACCGGTCCGACTGTGGGCGTTGCTCAGCATTTATCGCGGGTGCTGCACAGACATCCAGCATCCGCACTGAGACCCAGGACCCTCATTTGGCCCCATGGCCAAGGTGTTCGACGTTATTGGGGGGTCCATACTCACATAAGCCTGACACTCCTCCGTATATTCTACGTCACACATGAGCACCATCCCCAATGCCCTGTGTAAAGTGTTATAATCATAGGGCGCATAAACACGCAACGAGCCTCCCAATGGTAGTGTGGCGTGATTGGCCGCCAGTGGTTGGCAACAGTAGCTTCACACCGGTTGAACCAAACCCCGCTCACCTCCAGCGCTAGATACAACCCCTTGAGCATGCACGCAACCTCACCTCTGTTTTTGGCCATACGCATGATAAAGTCAAGCACCTTCTCGGATGGCAGCACACGCGGAGTAGGCACGGCCGGCGGTGTGTTAGCGTGCATTCACACATCAATGTATATGTTGTCTCAAGATGACGAAACTCCCCGGATTCCTGACTTGTTTCTGTTCAGCCCGTAACTGGTGTCCCATAGGGCTACTTTCCTATGGGCCTAGACAAGTCCTACCGTCTGGTCTTTTCTTTCTTGTTCTCTGTTCCTTAGCCTCTTCGGGCTCTATCAGAGATTTTTTGCCTTCGCACTTGCTTTGCCAGACGGTCGTAACCCTGACTCCATCAAGCATTTGTCAGATAATTATTAAGTTATCTGTCCGGGATGGACCACGCGGAGGAGCTTGATCGGGATTTGGAGCGGGTTTTCCTTTCTTATTATTCTATTTTTTTTTTTTTAATGTAATTGCTGTGTCGTCGTGCGGAACGCTCCAAGACTTGATTTTCATTATCTTATGGGTGTATTGCTTTGTGGCCAAGAAGTTCTTCTTTGTGTCGACCATTTTCGGAGTTAGTCCTTCATTAGTCCCTCTATGGTTAATTTTCCTCAACCAGATTTCCCTTGGTGCTGCGTAACGCTCACATTCAAACAACACATGTGTTAATGTCTCCTCTGGCGATTCACATTCGCATTCTGGTGATTCTTTTATTTGGAAGGAGTGTAGCTTAGCCCTGAAGTCTCCATGACCTGTTAAAACTTGGCTTAAATAATGGTCAAGTTCCACGTATTTCATTTTTAGTCGTTTGGCAATGTCCGGGAAAATGCTGTACGTCGTCCTTCCTTTTATGGAGTTTGACCATCTTCTCTGCCACTCTTGGATTCCCCAGGCTATTATGGCCGATCCGTTTTGAAAAGTGGTGGATGTCCCAACGTCGTTTTCGAGCTAGATAAGTCCTACCATCAGTTCAGGCGTCTAGGGGTAACCGATGATGGAGGCAAATCCCTTACCTTCCTGTACCTTTCCTTATCTGTACCAACTCCCTCCTCCACTTTGGTGGAGGCTTCCTGGGTTACTGAACCTTCACCCCTCTGGTAACGGGTGAAAACAGTAGGGGGGCAACCCCCGGGTGGGCGATCAGTCTCACCTTAAAAACAGTACTGAACCACGGGATGGGGTAATTCCAAGTAGCCCCCAATTGAGGTTGGACTCGTGGTGGTCGTGGTTTAACAGCAACTCGTACCTTATCTGGAGGGTACCGGCCAACCGGAGCCGGAGGTAGAGCGTACCCTTATCTACCTCTCCGGGGGGTGGCTGAAGGTAGAAATACTGGAAGCCACCAACAAAGTCCGGTGAGCCTAGCAATAGGCAGGGACGGACGTTAAATAAACCCTAAGTCCGAAGGGACAAAGGGAAAGGAAGGGAAACTATGCCCATAACTGGTTAAGGATGGTTAGGGCTATAACATGCTTATGCACTGACTTGTTGAAATGTCAAGGCCATCGGGCGACTCCTCAGCCCATAATTAATAGGTAATCCTGTCAAATTGAGACATATTCATTCAGTGATTAGGTGGCAACGAGAACTGTGATTGAGGATATGCTGTCTTATGCTGAACTTACTGAGGATGTGAACCCATCCCACCTAGTGTTTAGTGTATATACTGCTCGAGACAGACCCAGCTGAGCAACTGCTCGAAGTCAACTCGTACTGAGCATACACTGGAGGAAATGTCATTGTGCGTACACAGAAATTCTGTTCAAGACTCCTCATTACACACCATACACACCACCGAGGCATTACATATCACTTGAAATCGTGGCTCTGAACGTTACAGTGAGGCCTTTTCATGACAGTTCAACACGAGAAGCATTAAAAAAAAGAAAAAAAACCGTGTTACACCAGACCCGAGCACTGACCGAAGACAAAGGGTCAAATTCAGGTAATTTTAAAGCGGCGACGGCACGTTGAAAGGTGGAGAGTGTGAGGGCATTTCCCGTAAGTTCCAAAAGTCTCTGAATAGTGCGCAATTGTTCTTGGGCAATAGCTCTACAAGAATTGTTATCATTCTGGCGTTCGTGGTTAATAAAATCTTCATACCTTTCGTCTAATGGCGACGAACTGCTTTGGGCTGAATCCATCCCACTTCTGATGTTGTCTCAAGATGACGAAACTCCCCGGCTTAATGACTTGTTCACCCAGCGTGTCGGCAAGATCTTTCATGAATACTTGGCATAGATGGCACTGTTGTCATAATAACGTTGTTGGCAAGAATGTCATCACATAGAAATCGGATAACATTAGGACTTGCCACCCGCAACACCGTCTGGCTTTCTTTCTTTCTACTGTTCATAAGCCGTCGCCGGCTCTTTACTGTATCTTCCTTTGGCTTATTTATTTTATTTGTGTAGCTTTTTTATTAAAGACGGATGCGTTTGAACTTGGGGGTCAGAGAGAACGTGTTAGCAAAAAAAAATACTAATAATAAATAACACATTCCTCTCCCCACTCCTGTTCCTATTGTACTCTTTTATGTCCATGGCCTTTCAAAGCGGTCGCATCTACACTCCACCTGCCGAGCTCTTCGTCACAGTTGGTGATTATATTAACCAACTGTGTCCAGGATGGGCCTCGCGGAGGCGGCTCGTTGGGATATTAAATTCAGGTGGAGGAGGTTTTGTTATTTAACTTTGGTTCTTCACTTGGTTTGTTCACTTTTACTTGTTGTTCCTTGGTTCCTGATGAGCTGAAGAAACTGGGTAGCTGTGCAGCACACTGCTCCTGTGCCGGGTGGAGGAAAAAAAAAAGGAAAAAAAAAGAGTTATGACAATAGTAATACTAAATAATCGTAACAAAATTCACACGCACATACACATATACACATACATACACACACATATAATAATGAACATGAATATAACAAGCAAAACAACATTAATTACAACTAATTTAATTAACCCCTTTCCCACACTGCACACTCACTTTGATCGCACTTTACACTAACCACCCTTTCTGTTTCATAATGGCTTTCCACAATTTCTGAGTTGATCGGAAACCAGACGGTGAGGAGACCGCATGGCGCAGGGTACTCACATCTAACGATTGTTCTCCGGTTTCAGCGAGCCATCTCCATCGGGCTTGTTCATATTTATGGCATACAAATGCCACGTGCTCAACAGTTTCAACTTGACCACACTCACAGAAAGGGCTATCTTTTAATCTAAACTTATTCAGTTTTTCTGCAAAATCTCCGTGGCCCGAAAGCAGTTGTGACGTAAAATGATCCATTTCTAGATGTTTCATTTTCATTCTGCCTTGAATGCTGGGGAAGATTTCATAAGTGTACCGCCCTTTCGTTGAGGCGTCCCATCGTCGCTGCCACTGCGTTATCATCCATAGCGTAGCTTCGCTTTCATTTGTTGCGGGGATACAGATTCGAGTCCATTTGTAATTTCCCATTTCCCGCAAACAAATTTCGCCTGAAGATCTATCGGTGGTCGTCCAGCTAGTACTTGCAGGGTATCTGTAGAAATAGTTCTATATGCCCTTGTGACCGCGAGAAGGGCTATGCGCTGGGCCCTCTCTAGCATTATCCAATCAGCAGCCCGCAACCGACACGTCCACGCAGGAGCAGCATACAGTAGTACTGATTCGCACAACGCCGAATAGTACACTGACCTACTTTTGTAGGAAGCACCCCATATCGCGCCGCTTATTGCTTTCATCGCTGCTATCCTTGCCGGGATCTTTGCGTGCGTGCTTTTTGCGTTTACTGAAAATCGCAAGCCTGCAGTCATCCTTATACCCAAGTACGTCACTATTGGTGGGGATTTTATTGTTTTTCCGCACATCCGAATGACTAGTGGTGATCTCATGTTCAATGAGCCTTTGAGAAGCAGCAGCTCTGTCTTCTCTGGGGCTAAACAGAGTCTGACACCGTTGCACCATTCTTCTAGTACTGCAACGGCGCTTGCACCTTTCCTTTCAATCTCTGCCTTCGTTTCGGCAGGGATGATAACAGCCAAGTCGTCCACGTACGCGATAGCATGAATCCCTGACTGTTGCAGCTGTTTAAGTGCCCCGTCGAACAGCACGGACCACAAGTCGGTCCGAGCACGGAGCCCTGAGGAATCCCCATTTGGACTACCGTGCTACAGTCCACACTGTGCTCGCTCAGGGTTGCTGTTCTTTCGCTGAGATAGCTAGACACTAATGCAGTCAAGTCCTTTGGCACACCTCTGCTGTCCAAACTATCTAGGACCAGTTCACCAATTCTCGTCCGAGCAGGGTTTCTTAACATATTTCAAAGTTAAAAAAAAACTTCTTTCAATAGTAACACAATTTAAGTGAAATTCGTTTTCACAAATTTTGCCCGCAAGTTTGTACGTGTTATGCGCAAATGCTTTTACACGTGGCACACCGATCGGTTTTTTTCTTGTTTTTTAGTGATAATATTGTTTTCATTGATAATCTTCCAGAATTCAGTGGGGTTTGATATGCTTTGAATTTGATTGGTGTACAAATTGAATTTTTGGTTTCTGTTGGAATTTTTTACTTTGTTTCTTAAATGTTTGAATTTTTCCCAGGTTGCTAATTGTTCGTCTTTTTTTAAACATTCTTAAAGTCTTGTCTCTTAACTTCATTAATGTTAAAATATATGCCAAGGTGCTGGTTTCTTAGTTACACGTACATTTCTAATTGGTATTCTGATTAAATTTAAATAAATTTTTTTGATTTTTGTAATTAATCCGTTAACCTTTGTATTTTAATGATTAGGTCATTTTGTAAATATTGTTTGTTACATTGCATATTTATGTTGAAAAACCAATCGACCACGACGATTAATGTATTTGAGATCTGGTTTCTGGTCATAAATCTCATCATTTTCTATATGAATCGCAGTTATTTGTTCTTTGAATTGAAATGAGTTTGTTACATTTAAATTTTGTGGTTGTACAAATAGTTTCAATTTATTTTTGAACAATTTAGAAAGATTGTAAAAGGGTGATTGTACTGACGACACTATTAGCCTGAGGGGTGGGTGTCCCTTCCTTATGTACTTTTGGTAGGACATAAATCTTCGGACTAACTACACTACTCGTACTAACAGAGTTATGTGTTTTCGGTTGTCGTTCCTCTCCCTTTTTTATAGTTTTTGATTGTAACAGTTTTTTTTAACAAGTTTATTATTTTGTCCTTCGAAAGTTACAGTAGGATCTTTGTTAATTTTCTTATAAATAGAGTCAACTTCTTAAATCTCATATCTTCTATATGAAGCGCAGTTATTTGTTCTTTGAATTGAAATGAGTTTGTTACATTTAAATTTTGTGGTTGTACAATTAGTTTCAATTTATTTTTGACCAGAAACCAGATCCCAAACACATTGGATATTTAATTTGAGTGGACAGTATTAAATGTTTTTAGTTACAAACGAAAATCTTTAGTTCATTTAATGGACTGATTATTTATAATAAAAATAGACTATGAGTGAAATAAACAAATGAAAAATGAATATGAAAATGATGACTATAGCACAATAATTATATAAATGAAATAAAACCACACGCAGTTCACTGACACGTTTTCGATTTGAAGGCTGTACGAATACTGAATTACTGATCCCTTCCATTCATCCCCTAATTTTCCTCCACTCGACAAAGGGCTGCCAAGAGCTCAACCATGCCACTCGTCCTGAAGAATCATTCTTCAGTAATGTCCTGTGGTGGAATTGGTAGTAAACGCAATTTTTTTTATTGGTCTCTTACTAATTCCTCCGGCTGTCTTCACCGTCGCCACTCGAACCTTGCTGTCTGCTCCTGGATGGGTGTTGATGACTCGAGCCATTTTCCTTGTACTTCTTGATCGTGACTAGATCGCCAATTTGAAGGACTCGTTAAGGGGTTTTACATTTTCCTCTCTGCTGTTGTTAACGAGCAAGTGGACTATAATTTGATGAAGAGGGTAAAATAATCGAATAAATAAAAGGAAGAACAAAGAACTCACCATATAGAGGACTTCTCCAAATTCTACGACGGATGAAAAGGGGGAAAAAGGACAGGCGTACAGATGATGTAGGAATATAGGGATACGGATACCCTTTATCTCGTTGTCCTTCGGAGACTCTCCTTCGATCGATAGTCTCGCCACGACGATCGCGAGAATAAAATAAAATGAGACGAGTAACAGTTTGAAGAAGAAGAAACAAACGATTTGCCAATGACCGATGCGCACAGTTCAAACGACAATTACCAACTGTGTGGCGGAGAGGGCCGAGCGTTAACATCGCCGGGCCTCGGGCTCAAAGTCCACGAAAAATGGCGTTAACAGCTGTATATTGTTGAGGTAATCTCTTGACCAACGGGACCAAAAGTGTTGAAGTAGTTGCTGAACTTGCTGCCACTGGTTAAATTTGTTAACTGGTAGATGGATTAGGGATGGCTCAGTTTTGTTTACGAGGATATCACCTATAAGAAAATGTGATGGAGTGAGGGAACATTTTCATCTGTACGTTCATTGGAAAGTGGAATTAAAGGACGTGAGTTTTTTTTAAATTATTAAATGACCTTCAACCACTATGGATCATTTAGACCGGCTTCTTGATATCTAATTAAAAGTCGCTGTCAGAAGTTGAATGCGAAGAAGCCGCCAGAATGTGGTGCCCTAGGTGGCTGAAAATGCCATGTGATTTCATCCTGGGAACAGGGTGATTAATTTTTCTTTAAACTCTTTGTCTTCCAAAATTCTTGCAATTTTCTACATGCTCCAACGAAGTTGGTACCGTTGTCTGAGAAAATATTCTTAGGTTTACCACGTCTTGAGATAAACCTCTGTAATGCAGCAATGAATGACCCCCTTAAAAAGAAAAAGTCCCTACTCACAGTAAGTTGTTTTCAACGATCCGGATTTCGAGCTTTTAGCTCATCATCAGGTTGAAGGAGTTCTACAACCACGTCTCTCGACATAAATTGCCAAAGTCCACCATTCATCATTTCTATGAATGACCCTGTAATTGAAAACGTTCTTATTTATTTTTTATTAATTATATAAATTTATCTTAAATTTATATTAATGAAATGATTGTTTTATTTTTATTTATTTATTTGGGTAAAAAAATGGAATACATATTTAGGGGACCATATTTAGGTATATCTCTTCGACTTTTATTATGAATTGAGTTAATGTCTTCGGATTCCCGTCATATCGTAATTGGGAGAATTTAGGAGGGTTGCGTAAGTAAATAATTTAGATTGATCTGCAGAGGGACTCACTTAGATAGAGGCAGTGCAGGTTGCATATATTCTCCCTCTCGTACCAGCCTCGTGGCTACCCTTTTCGCTGACAAGTCACCCCCTGTCCCTGCAAGGCTCGTCCCTTTTTTTTATTTATCCTATTTACAACCTATTCTCTACGCTAACAACTTTACAATATGTCGTATTTACTGCTAAAATTTTTGTTTTTAATTCAATCTAGTTTTCATTAATTATTGATATTGTTTTATTAAATTCTTGTATAATTTTAACATTAACTGAATAATGCAATCCTCTCTGCGAATCAATGTTTTCTTGGTGTTGACTCAATTTTTCACCATCGAAACCTTCGAAATTCCCAGTAAGCACCTTTTCAACAGACCCTACTCCATTTAACAAATCTCTCTTATTGCTAATACCTTTCTTCATTTATGTAAAAACTATTTCTAACTTTTCAGTTATCCCTTATTTAGTGTGGTACGTACCTTCTATTAATTTTTAAAACATTCTCTTGGCTGATGTGTAAGCGTTACGTGAAAGTCTCTTATTTTATAATAATAATAAAACCAAACTTTCATAACAGAAAAAGATTAAATCATAATGAGGATTTTTGTGTGCAATCAACCAACTTAGAAAAACCAATTGTTTTTAATTTACTATTTAATACTTTCTTTCGTTTATTAAATTAATTATTGTGTTATTCCATTATGTTTTCTCACAATGTTATACTCAATTTATTTACCACTTTGTTATTGTTTCAGTTAAAAAAATAACTATTTTTATTTGTCATCACGTGCACTGTATCACAACTCATAATAGAGCTCATAAAGACTGTTAGAACAATATCTGAACATTCTAGTCTTTTTGTAACCTCTTGCCCATTTCGATTCGTCTTGCCTTAGTAATTAATTAATTGGACAATTATTATTTTTATTAATGTTTTTCCCTTTTTGCTTCTGGACTGTTTGATAGTTGTTATTGTATTTATTATCAAATATAAATGTATATTAAAATATTTATATATTTTTTAATTTAAAAGAAATTATGTATTACATATTTAACTTTTACCTATTAATTTTGTAAAAACTAAATAACATTGATTTCCGTTTCAGCTAAGGTTTAATTAAGACTGCATAAACTAGTTTCTGTACTATCTAGACAACTGATTCATTAATGTATGTAATATTCTAAACATTTGTGTTAAATTTTAACGGGTATTTTTGTAACTACTTATAACGCATAAGTGTCCAAATGGTCAAATACAATTATTTTATATGAATTTATAATATTATCAATGATTAGTGTTATTTAACGTTAATTAGTGTTAATTTTATAAATGTAATGCAAAAATATTACTTATAAACCTTATTACAACTTGTAACTATCAGGTGATAATACGAAGTACCTTAAATATAATTTTACTTTTCTAAAACAGATATTTTGTACTCTTCTAATATTTGTATAATAATATCATACGTTGTAAAACTTTGTATTTCCAATTGTTAAAACTATAAAGATTTTATCATAATTGAAATTTGTTGATTTGATTATTTATTTCACTCACAAATAAATAAGATTAAAAAAAACAATGGTGTAAATTTAATATTAATGTATTTTTAATATTGAACATTGAATTTTTATGTGGAGATCGTGAGGTGCGGTCAGGTGTGACGTAGGTTTTAGAAAAACATCTTCTTTATCGTGCCAACGTTTCGATCTTTATTGAGATCATCTTCAGTGCTCAGTGTTTGTTTTCCGTATAGACGTGTCATTCTTGTCGTGTTGAGAGTGCCCCCCCCCAAAAAAAAAAGACACAAGAAAGACACATTTACATGGAAAACAAACATTTTGAGCCCTGAAGATGATCTCAATAAAGATCGAAACGTTGGCATGATAAAGAAAATGTTTTTCACCTCACGATCTCCAAATGTCGTTGGCACGACATAAACACCACACATTGAACAATACAATAGTAAAAATGTGTTTTCCACGTGTAACAACTCATCTATATCTTGATTTCAGCACTGTGAACATCGACCTTATTCTTTTTCCGTTTTATATTTTAATTTTAACAACCCGCACCCATTGTCATTTGTTCCTAAGTAGGAATAAATAATATCTAAGGCGCTCTGCTTATTTGCTGAAGTGAGCTTGGATCGGGCGAGGCCGCCGCCTGTGGACCTTCACAGGTAAGTTTTAAGGATAACCAAGACCTCCCAGAGAGAGGCCAAGTTATCACCTGGTAGTCTGTGTGGATCTGAGGAAAAGTCTGAAAACAGTAGTTTTTGAGTCCTTCAAGTAAAATCTTTCCAAAGCGGGCAAATCATTGTATCTTGCAAGATTAAAACATGCTGAGACACGGATATCGCGTACAAGTTTTTAAAATTGTGAGTCCCTATACGCAATTCATTGGGTTTTATTACTCTGATACCAGAGATAATTTTCAATAGAAACTTACTTGACCAAATTATGTCTGGTTTAAAAAAAATAATTATATTACACCCTCCTTACATACAATTCCTTAAATATGTCCCAAAAACCAAACAGTAGAGATTCAGAAACCACAAAACGAGTCCATTCCCTAAAATTGTATGCAATTCTTATGATCACGCCTTCAGAAATAACTATTAATTGTAACAAATGAGGAAAGTTTTACAAATTTGAATGTGAGCCCAAAATTCAAAGTAGATGATTGTAGTGAACTACAGAGAATTACAGAAACCCAATTAATGACAGAAATAGATAAATTAAGGTCAGAAATGGGGGAAAAATTAAATGAAATAGTTATTCAGATTTCGTGAGATGCGGTCGGGTGTGATGTAGGTTTCAGAAATACATTTTCTTTATCGTGCCAACGTTTCGATCTTTTATTGAGATCATCTTCAGGGCTCAATAAAAGATCGAAACGTTGGCACGATAAAGAAAATGTTTTTCTGAAACCTACATCACACCCGACCGCATCTCACGAAATCTGAATAACTGTAGATTAACGGTCACTAATCTCTACACATTTAAATGAAATAATAAATAAATTTCTGAATAAAATAACGAAAATGAAATAGGGAAAGAAAAGCAACTTATTGCAACAAGTAAACAGAATAATACTCAGTTTAGGGGCAATTTTTTCAGGATTTGGCATTTAGAAAGCAACGATCTCGTCGAACGTAAAAGTTTTTAAAGTTCGCCGAATAATAAGACAGCTGAGATCTTCACCCTTGAGTACTAAGCGACTACCATATCTCTGGCTAATTAGGCGTTTATGAACATACACCTGTGAACTCTTGGGACTTAGAAAGCAACAATCTCGTCGGACGTAAAAATTGTTATTCATTGATGGTGGCTGAAGGGACAAAAATAGGATGATGAATATGGCGTTCATCTTTTAACACAAAATCGTAAACACAGTTGCTATTTAGTGGCTCAGGAACTAAATGCGGAAGTGGAATAGTTCCAAATGTTTTTCAGAGTCAAAGCCTTTTATTTAACAAGTGCTCGAATCGGTGGGCCCTCACATACTGAAAAGGGATACAAATTACCGATTGGCTATACGACCAGAGGAAAACTGATATACAATAACAGTGAGCTATAGTTAGCACCAACAGAGGTTTCATGAGAACAGTTTCCTTGAAACCGTTTTTTTTCCGGATCGAAACGCAGCATGTCTATGTATTTGAATCGATAATACTGTGTAAGAAACTCGAGATTTCACGCAGCCAGCTTTTTAGCGTGCACTCCGCCTAATGGATGGTTGGTGAAATGGAGAGTTAAAATAAATGCATCAAAATCAGTAGTGCTACGCACCATTTTTGTCGTAAACGTTTCGATGAGACTACATTTAACGGCAATGCCTATCCCTAAGCAACACTTCTGTGCGCTACCTAGGTGTCCACCCGGACTCAAAATTGACATGGGCTGAACATATAAAGTATCTAGTTTTTAAAGTTCGCCGAAGAATAAGACAGCTGGGACATCTCCTTTGAGTCCTAAGCGACTACTATATCAATCACTAATTACGCCTATATGACATACTCCTGTGAACTCTAGGGAGCGGCTGCAAACAATCACCTGAACAAAGTGCAGGTGACACAAAATAGCGTTCTACGTCCCATCACAGGAGCCCCGAGGTATGTGCGTAACAGTACCCTCCATCAATATCTAGACGTCCCAATGGTAGAGATGGTTGCCAGAGCACTTAACACAAGGATGACCGACCACGCCAATTCAATAATCGCTCAAATCAAGGCACGACCCCCGCCTCCTCCCAATCGCCGACGACACAAGGTAAAGCTCCCTCAAGATTTCCATCTTGATTATATATAGTCACGTGAACGTAGCTATATTATTAATAAATTATAATCATATATTTTATGTAAACTATTATGCGAGTGGCAAGTCGATAATTATAATTCTGATGAAGGGTAGTTAGTGGGACTGCACCTTAACACACTTTATATGCTAATTAGCATAACTTGTTATGCTACTAGATTTTGTGTTATGACTGTAATGATTTGTACTGACCAATAAAATTTTCTTACAAAACAAAACCTGCTTAAGGGTTCTGATTAAATAAATAATAATTATCTCAAGGGTTCAACAATAATAATTCCGCCAGACCAAACTTGGAGAGCCTACGAGATCAATTCAGTCGCTATTGAAATACGGAATTATTGCTTGGGGAAGTGCCCGTAACAGTGTTTTATAAAAATGCTAAAAACATCATCAAAATCATAATGAACAAACATCCGAGGGTGATGATAATACAATCACTTTATATGAAGAATTTAATGTTCATAACATAAAACAATTATTTATATTGTCTTCCTGTATTCATGTATATAAATTAATTCTCTATAATTGTAATTACCATGAACATTATACGCGTTATTCAAACAATACTAATGTGATTTTACCAAAAATTAAAACTGATTTATATGCAAGACATTCTTATATTGTTGCTTTAAAATTTGCTATTACGCATCAATTAACTTTGGTAATTTTTCTAATGTCAATAAGTTGAAAAAATTTGTATTAAATGTTATAAATTAACACTGACTTTTTTTATCTGAACCAATACCTTACATAAAGATTAATTAATTGAAAGAAGTTATTTGGTCAATTGGACCACGAGATCTAATGGGGTTATAAGTTAATTTTTTAATATCTTACAGTTGTTTTTTGATAAATTATTTAAAATAATGTACGGTAACTATAATAATGTTTCTTCCATATTTATTTGCGACCTTCTTTAGGCTGTATATATTTCATTCAATCTGGCATTTAATATATATGTATATTCAATTTCAATTCAACTCTAATGAATTGCATAAACTTCGCAACTCCAACTCTACTCGAGCTTTGCTTGCTGAATGTTGGCTTCATAACTGTAAGATAAGTAATAATACGGTAGCAATCCTGTACTTTTTCTTGTACTTTCATATTTTAATATTCCATCTGTTATGTACTTTCGCAGTTGATTTAAAAATATATTCTGATCTGACTGCTCATCACTTTAATTAACATGCCTGAGTTAAACTGAATAATGAGGTAATAATATTTGTTTAAATTACGAAAAATGCTCAATTATGACTTTCTTTACAATAAATCATCTTCCTTACATTTTATTGCTATTTATCTATTTTACGAGTACAAATACACATTTTGATTTGTCATTATTCACTTGTGAACGTTCTGCGTTTTCGAGGATTCGACTATGTTATGTTTTGGTGTCGGTCCCTCGCAAAGCATGTCGGAGGCGTACGAAGCTGTTCAAGGTTGGCCTTGTAGCCTTAACCACCGTTTTTATGATCGCAAAAGGTCATAAAACAAGACAAAAAAGCCCGACGTTTTGGTCGTCCGTCCATCCCGTGGGCCTTCAGACCAAATTTGGCCGATCCCTCGATTTACGGCCGCGAGCCGGTCGCAACCCCTCCCGCGAGGCACGCAACTGCGTAGGACCCGCGCCGCGCCGCCCCCTCGGCCTTTGCGCGCGATGCCACGGCCCCACGGCGCCCGTGTAAAAATCAATCGCGCGCTTGCGCGTCCCGCTCGCTCCTCAAGGCTCTTTCCTCCGGCTGAGCCAGAATCGTCAGTTTTATACGCAGAGACGAGATAATCGCGTCGTTCGACTCAAATAGCAACTTCTTGCTTCAGCAAATCCAGTCATGTTCGGAGGAATCGGAGGAGGTAAACAATCAATTAACGTCTGATTGCCGATAAAAATCAATCTAATGTTGCTACATCCGACTATTTTCTTAATAAATTTTCTTTTTTTCATATTCAAATCGACAATTAAACTTAAAGAAAAAAACATATATTGGGTTGGATATTATTTACACAGCTTTGTTTTTTCTTAAGGAATATATAATCTTAACTAAATTTGAAAAGATGGACATTTATGGGTGTCGGACACCACACCCCCTTCGTAGTAGGTACCTTTAATCAAATTGATTAATAGTGTACTACATCCACCATCGAACGGAATCTGTCGAATATTGTTTAAAATAACATTTTTTTAAATCCATTGCCTTATTCTGTTTGGTGATATGATATTAAATCCCCTCCCACGACGGCTAGGACGAAAAATGCGGAAGGATCGCCGGACCTAGAGCGCGAATGGGCACGACCTTGTCGAGGAGAAGGCCGCATTCTTAGCCGTGAGAGACGGCGTTTCGTCCGAATCCTTTTCTCCGGATCGATGTCGGCTTATTTATAATTTAGAGTGAAAATCGTTGTCCTTGGACGACGACTGTTTATGTGTGGAAATTCTGCAGGCGATCTGCCATGCCTGATATCGACGTTTCTATATCGCACGTAATACCTCTGTAAAACGTGAGACTCTGCCGATTCGAAATTTACTAAATATCGGTGCAAAAGGCTATTGCTCTCTTCGGATAAAGATGGATCCTAGATTATGTTTTGTCTGTGTAGTATCTCGATGCACAACACCCGCGGCAGCACCAACGACTTCATTTAAAACAATTCGATCTCGTATATATACCGTAATTCGGTAAATTACTACTGAATGACGCAAACCCCTTCATCTTCCGACAAGCACACCCTACAGGCCTTCCGGGATAGTCTATTCGGTTTTTCAATAGCCCCCAGGTGTGGATAAAATATCTGTAAGTTTCTTTTAAAAGCCCTCCTTGGATACATATATGATAACACAGTTCTAGAGTCGATGCTTGATTTCAAGCAGAACGCGTCTAATTGTGTCAATAAAGCGGGTAAAGAAGGGCTGACACTGTGTTTAATCATTACGGACCGTTACATTGACATTATTTGACAAATACACAAAACGGCGTTTTCCACGCTTGGGAATTTGTAGGTGGTCAATTTTCTTTCTATTAGTTCTCAAGGGCGGAGATATTGACGGCTGAAAACTATGCCATATGCCTGTGGCGGGGACGCAGCACACAGCAATATGTATTGAGATTCTACATGTTGAAAGTCTTTTCAAAAATCAACCTTGCAACAACAAAAGAAACAATAAAAATTAACAAATCAACTAGCTTTTAATATTTTGTTAGTTTATTATTGTCCACATATCTTATTATAAAAGTAGTTGCATAAAATGCATTTAGTTATATCATACGTAACTATTCAATAATTCATTCATAAGCTGATCCCTTTCTTAACAATGATTTTCAAAAATATTAGCCTAAATTTGGAGTGAAGTTCTAATCCATTATTTAACAGTATTAAGCAGGTATCCAAAATGTCATATTTACATATTTATTGAGATCCCACTAGACCTGCTTATTATAACTAAATTTTTTATTTTTGTTTATGCACATACTTTTTAATGTTGTAAGTTTCCTTTTCCTGTGTGATGCCTCAAGAATGTAATTTCCTTCTATGTCCTTTATTTTTTTGTCCATGCATTTTTCAGGGTGTTCCTTGTTTATCTGTTGTAATATTGATTCCATTCTTCGTCTTATTGATTATTCGGAGATCGTGAGATGCGGTCTGGTCTGATGGGTACATACTTCGTCTTAGAGGAATCACAAAGGTCCCTGCAGTTCAGAGGGTAGAGAAGTAGTTTATTTTGTTTAGTTATTCAGTATGTGTAACCCCTTTGTAACAGTTCTCAAATGAAATGGGAGAGGAAAAATTGTTTTATAGTGTCGTATTTTTATCAGAGTTCATTGAAAAATAAAGGAACCTACTGTGCCAAGATAAGGCATGGGGAAAATTAGTTTTGTTTAAAAAAAAATTGCTTGATTTAATTGAAGAGAGATTCCTAATTCGAATGAGTTGAACCAATTTGCATGACAGCAGAAAAACGTTTTCTTTATCGTGCCAACGTTTCGATCTTTATTGAGATCATCTTCAGGGCCTGAGATTTATAAACATTGTTTTAATTTTACAAATACACGAAGGATGTGAAAAAAAGGAATTTATAAATGCCAGAAAATTTTATATTCAATCAAAGTATTTGTACTCACTCGAAGTGTTTGTTTTCTGCGTAATTGTGTCATTCTTGTGTGTCGTAATGACACAATTACTCAGGTCATCTAGGTCATCTAATCGTACTCGCACGTACAAGAGCCGACAGAGATGCGCCTTAACTTTTGGAGCCTGTGAGCCCAATAAAAAAATTGAAGAAGAGATAACTTACTGATAAACAATTTTTTTAAAAAGTTTTTACAATAAAGACAACGCTTTCAACCTTTCTATCTGACTCACCCTTTCGCACTCCTTTGAGTCCACTGTTCTGCTTCCACATGTCAGTCAGTGTGAATAGTTTTGTACATGATTTTAGGTGACACATTTTTTTCCAAACCCATCAAACAAGCAAAAGGTCAATTATTAAAAAAAAAAAAAAAAAAAATAGAGAAGAAGATGTTTAAATCATATATAAAACTATTCTCACTACAAAAATAAAGAATTTCATCTATTTAAAAAAAACGTTCTATCTCATTTCATAATTTATACGTCCTTTGACATATTTATTTTTAAAGAACGCGGCGTCGCGGTCGGTCGGGCTATGATGAACTCATCTTGAATGAATTGACCATTTGTAATCATTTCTTGGGTCCGCCTGCTCTCGACGGTCCGTGATGTCTGCACCCCTTATTTTAATTTCTGGAATATCTGTTAGTTAGAAATAAAAACTTACTATTGAATATGAAGTTATAACATTGAAATAATATCAAATGCGACTTTTGAGTTGAGGCTTGAGAAAAGTCTACCAATGAAGTTTTAAAGATATAAAAATAAGCAATCAACATACCACAAAATAAGAACGTTTACGGTACTTTAAGTTGATTTTCCTTTTACTATACCATGATATCAATTATTTCTCAACGATTTTTTTTATTATTATGACATAAACCTTTCACCTCAAAGAAGCCGACTCATAGAAAAATGGATGTCTATCCCTACTTCCTTCCTCACTCCTTCAAAATCCAACGTATAAACAAAAACATTAATATCATACTGACACTCTCAACACGTCACACAGTAATGACACATCTACACAGAAAACAATAACTTTGAGTAAGTAAAAATACTTTGATTGAGGCTAAAATTTCTAGACTACAATTTCTATTATTCAAATTCATTTTTTCACATCTTTCATATAAGTTATTTATATAAGTTAAACAATGTTTGTAAATCCCAGGACCTGAAGATGATCTCAATAAAGATCGAAACGTTGGCACGATAAAGAAAATGTTTTTCTAAACCTATCTCACACCAGACCGCATCTCACGATCTCCAACCAACAGTTCCTCTTGAGGGCTTTTCGGGAGAATTTATTGACATACTTGGAATGGCCTAAATTCCAAAGTATCTGGATATACTCGGACAGACTGACGTTATCAATCTTCACTTGATAGAAAGTCTGAATACTAAGCCTATATATCGATCTGCTCAAGTCCTACAGCCCCACTGATGTTGCCTAGGAGGTGGAGTACGAAGATTGAGCATGGACGGTGGCTCCAACAACCTACAAGCCCTATATGCACCCAAAGTGTTGAATCGTGAAAGGATATTTAAGCAAAATAAAAATGCACTGGTAGACATCTCTAAGTCGGAAAAACACAATAGATTGCTGCAGTTTTCTTTTTTTACAATTATTTCATTAATATTCACCGAAATTATTAATTTCTAAAGTTAGACATCTACATTTATTTTCGTTAACATATACGTATGTATGGACTTATTTTATTAAAAATGACTGAGTTTTCATTGGCTTGATATTAATGTTAGTTTATTGTTTGTCTTTTTTGCCTCTGAGAGAAGAGAACCAGTAATTATTTTTAAAAAACTTAATTGTTAAATGTGGGATAAAATAATATCCCTAGGTTTGCAAAATATAATCTTCTTCTCAAAGAAGCGATGTAAACTACTTAACTACTACTACTTAATTTATCATTTCGCGAAATCATTCCCGATTCGAATTATAAAACTATGAGAAAAAGTGTACATTCAAAGCCTTTTTCCAAGGTAAACAAGGGCCAATTTTAGTATCCCCACCAACGAAGAAGATGCTCGCTCTTCTTTTCCTCTTCGAAGATCTCGAAATAAACCGGGTAAACAAAAACCCGTTTTGATGAAAAACCGAATACTTCAGACATGGAAATGGGAAAAACAAATAGAAATGAAATGATGAAAAATTCAGCCAGCAATTAATTTTTAACCGAGGCGAATCAGCATCCGCCATGTATTATTGAATGTAATAAAATATTATCTAAAATGTTGTGGTTTTCTTAAAGTCTACAGAAAAGATTTCTACTGTGCTGATAAATCATTAATAAAGAACATACAGAACATGAAGAAATAACATTATGAGATAGTATTTAGTGACCGTTAATTAATAACATATAATGATACCAAAAAATCTACTTTTTATCCAATTACCTTCATATTTTGAATCAAGGTTAATAATAAATAAGCACATTAAACAAGCTTTAAATACACGTTATTGATATTAAATATTCAAAAAACATTAAACTTTTTTAACATTAACAACATTATTAAACACTAAATTAAAAAAACTTAACATTCAATTAAATTGTTATATGTTTTTCTTAAGGACATAGTTTTAAGTGGAGAAGTTATCGCCGGGCTTTGGCCAACGACGGACCTTTAATAGCACGCCCGACCTTTAATAGGATGACGATGCATATGGCGCATGCAATTTCAAAACCGTTCATTTTAGTGAGAACAGCTTGTAA